CACTTATAGAAGTATATTAGATCCAAAGGTTAGTAATTAACCGGTAAGCTATCTGACTATGCAAATACGAGCCATATGTCCAACAGAATTAAAGTTCTCAATATATTATGAGGTTCACATGTAGTAGACATGATGTAGGTTCAGAAACTTCTTCGCATAGGAATTCAACCACTTCTTAGAGATTCTTGAACAAGCATAACAATTCGCATACTATTTCTAGTATGTTTTATATTCGGAATGACCGTTCAATACACGCGCTTCTTTAGTGCTGTACGCCTCTAATACAAAAGGAAGCTGATGAAATGTCTAGTATACCGCGCCACAGCTATTTGCTCAGATGATGTTATAAACGAAGAGTTGGTCACCATTCGTCACCTACTTGGTAAGAATGGTTATTCAGAGAAATATATAACTAAGCATATGAATTTTCCAAAGGTTGAAACAAGAACATCAACAGTTTCGAAGAAGGAAATATTCTTGAAGCTGAAATTTAAGAGTGATATTGCCAGTCAGATCGTCACACAACGCTTAGGAAGAGCCATGCACAAAGCATTCCCAGGCGCCAAATTATGTTTATTCTCCTGCAACCATGCAATTCTAAGTGAAAGAAATAAAGACAAGCTGCCTGGTTCTGCTACTTCTATCTGCATTTATCAACTGGAGTTAGTTACACTGAGCGCATATCCAGCGTCGAATTTCTGAGCACTATTCATCATGGTTGGGTAAGGGATAAATTAGAATAGTAAAGAGCTCCATACTTGCACACCTAGTTGACATGGGATATCAAGTGGGTACTAGAAAAGCATTAAAAATTATTGATTATATTCATACCATTGCGATCACACAAGGCTTTTGATATCTGGTTTCCATAGTCCTACCACCCCAGATTCTTCCTGTTTATTGAAATTAATATTCTCCACATCTTCGGTATAAATGTTGCATCATTCCTACTATATGCGTTGGGTGTTGGTCCGATGAACAAATAGATTCAGTAATGAATTTTTGTCTCTACCTAACTGTAATGGACTTGAGTAGATTGATTTTATTCCAATCTATTGTGTGGTTGTGTCGTTATGCCTCCATTATATCATCCCAGGCTCTTCTTGATTATTGATCTTATTGGGGTTTGTCATTCTATATTTAGCTAAATTCCTATGTTTCGCCAATCTAACTGAACCCGAGCGGCTAGTTTGACCTATGTACTTGACCTGATAGACGTTACATGGAATTTGAAAGATTAGGTTATTTTATTGAATTGGATCTGTCGGATTGTTGAGCCAGGTGAGAAAGCTTATCTCTGAGTTTGTAGGTTTAAATGCTACCCTCATTCCAGCTTTGTTGAGGATCCAACTGATGTACGTTCCTTATAGGGTAATACAATGGAGGCTGTAAACTTCTTTCTACTCATGTCATCGATATTATTCGTATTACAATAAGTTTTGCCATCTCGTTTCTTATGTATTCTTACAAATTCCTTACTCAATGGTAGAGGATAATTATTAATAATTGACGCTTCAGTTCCTTGTTTAGGTCCTTATACTGAGGAGTCAGTTTCCTAGCTGTGTCATGCAGAAACTTGACTAAACCTCCCTTAACTAACAGACTGGATGAGGTGACGTGAAGTCTAGATAACTTTTGAAATGTTTGGGCTTCCTGTAGAAGGTAGTATCCGAACCATCGCCTGTCCTTCAATTTATCCTGCAATCCATCATAGCTGATTCTGCTTGTTCATTTTCTACCTCTTCGTAAGGGAATTCCATTGCACCTACTAATGAGTTTATATATGTGGGGGAAGTGTCGATATGTTCCAATTTGAACACAGTAGATGTATTATCCACACATAGCCACCATATCTTAGGTCCAGGATTAAACGTTTGTAAAGTTATGCTTTCCCAACTATCCACAAATACATCTGCTGGGATTGAGGATATTAGTGATCCGACTGATACGCCTTTTGTTTGTCTGTATATTTTAACTTGAAGTGTGTGGAGGTCAGGCACAACTGTACGCTTAATATGATTCTATCAACTGGAATCTTAGTTCTGTGAGTGATTTCTGAGTCAATATCTAGTTGGTTTCTAATTGCCTTTAGTGACATGTTGATTGATATTTTAGCATAACATGTTACTTCAAAACAAACCATTGTTTCATCCTCTTCTATATGTTGGTCATTAAGCCTCACTTTTAACTCGTAAGAGTTTACTGGTCTGAAATTTGAAGCGTTCTTAATAGGACACAATGTCGATGCTAAATACTCTGATAGTTCATATGTTAGGATATTTCTGAAGTTGACTATGAGTGTCATGGGATAACCTGGCTTGTGAACCTCAACGGTACTTTATTGTCCTCCCACTCACTAGCATGTCAATCATGTCCACATCCACGCCATCCATTTCCCGAGATTCGTGTGACCGGGTGATCATTCATGATGGCGGTTGATGGGAAGACACCGTATCCGACTGACTGGTTGGCGAATGTACTCTACATCACTCACGATTAGTGTACGACCAGTCGACTTGGTTGTGCATCTGTCAATCAGCTGGCCAGTGGATATTGCAGGCCGACATGGCGTTTGACAGTGTTGTCGTGTGTTTAAATGCTTGTATGTTTATCTGTGTCATACAAGCGTCTATGACCAGGTGGATGTGACAGGTTATGTGGTATGTCAGAACCCCTGCCCCCAAACTAGCTGGTCGGGATCTGTTAGATTAGCGCAACATAAGAATTCAGCCAAATATAGAATGACAGACGCCAAGAAGATCAATAATCTAGGAAAGAACTTGGCTCTTGCAAAGTATGCATTAAGACACAACCACACAATAAGGTGGGATAAAACCACCGTACTTAACTCCAATGTAATTAGGTGGAGAGAAAAACTGATTACTGAACCTTGTTCATAGAATCTATATCAAACACATGTAATGAGAATGACGCAACACCTATATCAGAGATATGGAAATTATTACTACCAATAAAGAGAAAGAATCTGGAGTGACAGGACTGTGAAAATGAGATGTCGGAGGCAGTGTGTGATTCCACTAATATGATGATGAACAATAATGTCTGCTTGTGGTGTTATCAAGTAAGTGACATTGTACCACTATGTGTTATAAGCCAACCAAACAAATCTACCGCAGTACTCAAGTTTTACACTATGATATAAGTGTAAAACTTGAGTACTGTGGTAGATTGACAACCCTGGTAAACATTTTTACGACGGTCCCAGTATCTGCCTTTTGATCACATATGATGAATGCATCATCTAAATATCTTTTATATCGGTAAAAACTGTCAATTGTTGAGTAGAGTAAACTATTCTCTACGTTTGCAGTAAACCAGTCAGCCAGTAGTGGTTCAACTGTTTACCCTATAGTTGGATTTTTAAGGAGTGCTATTTCACTACTTTTGTCAAGGTGTATCATGACTAAGTTTTCATCTCTCTCCAGATCCCTTGATGCATTTAATTGTCCTTCGACAGAAGATGTAGGCTACTGTATTGTGTGTTTATATAAAGCACAGAGGAATTTTAAATAGTCCAAATCCTTATATTAGATTGGAAGTAGGTCTCTTGAACTGGAATTTTATGCTTAACTTACCAACTTCCAATTTCGCTGTTGTTGTTGTTGTTTTTTTGTACTGAAGGAAAAGACTCGCATTTGAATGGAGGATAGCGATGCTTCAAAATAGTTGAAAAGACACTTTTCTTGGCACAAAAACGGGAATGAGTTTCACTGGCTATTCACCTCAAACTCTTGTTTATTTCTTGTGTTGACGTCATTGTCTTACTTCAATGCGCTGACAGCAACGTAGTTCTTAAGTTCTTCTCTTTCTTCCATACGTAATCGCTTTTGGAACACTTTTCATTCTAGTCCTGGCAATTCAGCTCGAACTACATTAGTGCGGTTCAGGGTGTATCGTTTCAAAGTATGTGAATTAGCAAATGTATGCCGTTGCATCTTCAAAAGCTTGTTTTATCAAGTAGGTACCTGCATATGGCCAGATTTTGTTTGAGCTTTCATGAGTAGGTTTTCATACTTTCAATCTAGCTGAATATAGTGAGGTAAGTTTACACCCTTTAACTAATCGCCAAACCTTCAATATCAGCTGTTCAGCTCTTCTGATGAATCTTAACTAACCGGGCATCAATAGAATATGGATCAGGACTGAGTTGAGTCCTTATCAAATCTCTCCTGAGTGGTTACAAATTCGAAGGACACAATAATAGAGTACTTCATGTTTCTATATCACTGATCATCTGATCCAGAGAGAAACTCCCCACCTACGGGCACATAACCGGCTTCTTATGAGACTCTCAGCGCTATATAGGCATTCTGTCTAACTAAGATGCTATCTGCTAAACTCAGAATATGTCAAGTGATCCAGTCGACAATGAGTAGCATCATTTTCCGCTTAAATAACACAACGCTGAAGCACAGTGTTAAGGGAATGCATACAATAAGATTGATAATGTGTTTACAATTTAAATACTAAACATCATCAATACAGATAACTATGGTAACCAATATGTATTGAGATGTAAACATATATCCATTGCAGATCAAGGAAATACTAGTTGGGTTAAAAGATTTATGATGGATAGTGGCCAGCAGTGAAATCCAGGACTCTTATTTACGACTCGTCAGTTGAGTTAACTTGCACCTGAGTCAGTGATGTTGTTTTCACTGAGAGTTGGACCTGAAGTTAGTAGCTTCAAATATCTGAACTCTATCTACTAGGTCACTAAGTCAAAATAGTCACTCCTTGTGTATATCATGGATTCCCCAATTAGTCAGTATCCATCATCACTACCCAACTGAAAATTACAAGCGATATCGAAGCATCTATAAAGAAGCCCATAAGTCAATGCAAACCGATCAACTGTCTAATCAACTGCGCAGACTTACGAGTTACAAGATAAAAAATCAAAGTTAAATCACCTTAGTAGCATAGTATGTATATGAACAATATTCACATCCCTATTTAAAAAGAGAAGTGCTCAAATGAACTGTGATTATACTAATATTATTGTTCTTATTGTTATAACGACTACTACTACTACTACTACTACTACTACTACTACTACTACTACTACTACTACTACCCACACTTGTACTACTACTACTACTACCACTACTACTACTACTACCACCACTACTACTACTACCCACACTTCTACTACTACTACTAATACCCACACTTCTACTACTACTACTACTACTACTACTACTAATACTACCACTACTACCACTACTACCACTACTACCACTACTACTACTACTACTACTACTACTACTACTACTACTACTACTACTACTACTACTACTACTACCACTACTACAACTACTACTACTACCACTACTACCACTACTACTACTACTACCCACACTTCTACTACTACTACTACTACTACTACTACTACTACTACTACTACTACTACTACTACCACTACTACTTCTACTACTGCTACTACTATTACTACTACTACTACTACTACTACTACCACCACCACCACTACTACTACTACTACTACTACTACTACCACTACTACCACTACTACTACTACTACCCACACTTGTACTACTACTACTACTACTACTACTACCACTACTACTTCTACTACTACTACTACTACTACTACCACTACTACTACTACTACTACTACTACTACTACTACTACTACTACTACTACTACTACTACTACCACTACTACCACTACTACTACTACTACCCACACTTCTACTACTACTACTACTACTACCACTACTACAACTACTACTACTACCACTACTACCACTACTACTACTACCCACACTTCTACTACTACTACTACTACTACTACTACCACTACTACTACTACTACCACCACTACTACTACTACCCACACTTCTACTACTACTACTACTACCCACACTTCTACTACTACTACTACTACTACCACTACTACCACTACTACCACTACTACTACTACTACTACTACTACTACTACTACTACTACTACTACTACTACTACTACTACTACTACTACCACCACCACCACTACTACTACTACTACTACTACTACTACTACTACTACCACTACTACCACTACTACTACTACTACCCACACTTCTACTACTACTACTACCACTACTACTACCCACACTTGTACTACTACTACTACCACTACTACTACTACTACTACTACTACTACCACTACTACCACTACTACCACTACCCACACTTCTACTACTACTACTACCACTACTACTACCCACACTTGTACTACTACTACTACCACTACTACTACTACTACCCACACTTCTACTACTACTACTACTACTACTACCACTACTACTTCTACTACTACTACTACTATTACTACTACTACTACTACTACTACTACTACTACTACTACTACTACTACTACCACCACCACCACCACTACTACTACTACTGCTACTACCACTACTACCACTACTACTACTACTACCCACACTTCTACTACTACTACTACTACTACCACTACTACAACTACTACTACTACCACTACTACCACTACTACCACTACCCACACTTCTACTACTACTACTACTACTACTACTACCACTACTACTACTACTACCACCACTACTACTACTACCCACACTTCTACTACTACTACTACTACCCACACTTCTACTACTACTACTACTACTACTACTACTACTACTACCACTACTACCACTACTACCACTACTACTACTACTACTACTACTACTACTACTACTACTACTACTACTACTACTACTACTACTACTACTACTACTACTACCACTACTACTACTACCACTACCCACACTTCTACTACTACTACTACCACTACTACTACTACTACTACTACCCACACTTCTACTAGTACTACTACTACCCACACTTCTACTACTTCTACCCACACTACTGCTACTACTACTACCACCACCACTACTACTACTACTACTACCACTACCCACACTTCTACTACTACTACTACTACTACCACTACTACTACTACTACCAGCACTACTACTACTACTACTACCACCACTACTACTACTACTACTACCACTACCCACACTTCTACTACTACTACTACCACTACTACTACTACTACTACTACCCACACTTCTACTAGTACTACTACTACCCACACTTCTACTACTTCTACCCACACTACTGCTACTACTACTCACACCAATACTACTAATGTAGTGGGCATTGCTGATTAGAATGGATATAAGTAGTATATGTCAAGAGGGTGGCGGAAATCATAAGGAATTACTAGCATTGGGTAAGGATTCCGCCAAGAGGAAGTCAAGAGACAAGGCAGACATGTGAAGAGCAAATCAAGAGAGAAGCAGAAGCATATTTTGTAAATGATAGTTTTAGTGCAAGGTGTACCATATTTAACGACTACTGTCCCACTTGTTGACAATAAGCATTCCATCCTGCATACGTATCTTTGCTCTACTACTCACACAACTACTACTACCACCATTTACACTACTTGCACTAATTATACTACTACTGCTGCTACTACTCACAATACTACTACTACTATTATTGATAACAATAATCATAGCTGAAATGCATTTTCCATTGGTTGTAGTAAATTGGTAGGTACTGTTGTTATTTTTCTCTTTTTCCATCCTATTCTATTTGTTTTGTCATATTCTCTTCAATCTGCATTATTTAATCTTACATAAACCTGGATGTATATATGCCTTTATGGGCTTATGTTTATGTGTGTGTGTGTAAATATGTTCGTACATATATGTGTGTTTAAGTGCATTGCAACCCTTTCCTTCCTATTGTCCTTATAAGGTCAAGCAACAGGTCACACTTTGATTGAAGATAACTAATTGAATAAATCCATATGGAACATGTATATAACACACAAGGAAATAAATGTTTGCATATTCTTATCAGCATAACTAACTAACCTTTTCAATATTAAACTCAATCTCAATAGAATTCATTCTCTTCCATAGAAAATTTTTTTCCCCTTTATATTTTGTATATTCTTCAACAATATAATTGAATTCAACTGATTGTATGAATAAAAGGCATCAACCGATTAAAAGATTATTCATCTTATGTTTTTTTGTATAATTTTATACTTTTAATCAATAGAAATGTTAATTGAAATGAAAGTTGAAGGGTAAACTAACTAAATGAACAAAAAATGATACCCATTGCACAAGGAATGGTTGCTGTTCATTAATGGCTTAGTGGAGAGAAGAGATCACCTCGGGATTAGAGGCTTAATGGGAACAATATCATTCACTGGGATGAAGGTCCAACCAGTTGGATTCTACTATTTATTACCAAGACGAATATAATATCATGAATATCTGACATTATCAAGGTATTTGCATACGACCGTATCTGCAAACAGAGGTTGAAGAATTCAGCCCTGAATAACAAAGGGAATTAACTATTAGTTAATTCAACTCAAAAGCGTGCTTTTAAGTTATGTAGATTAAAATTTTGTCACACCATGTTGGATGAAGTAGGTCCAGGCTGGAAAAAAGCCCACCGAGGTGGCCAGACTTAAACATGGCACCAATGTTTGAAGTCTCTGACTGTTGGTTTAAGCTATGTAGGACGATACAGACTAGGTGGTTGGGGTCCGTGGGACAAGAGGAATCAGTGGCTGGAGACTCTATGTGATATGGCTCAGAACCAATGTCAGTGGCGCAGATGTATACACATAATATCCTCATCTTAACATTATACCGATTCTCACCATTCTGTCATTCTTCCTTTCTTTCTTCTCGTACTTTATATTTCTTTTGACTGCATTCTCTTATCTTCATCTTCCACTTTACTGCCTTTTTACTTGATGTACTGAGTGAGCTGTGGCAAATTGGACCGTTAGGCAGTAATACCTGGTCTTATGTTATATTGATGATGATGGTGATGATGGTATTTAGGAAAATTCGTGACTATTTTACACCTCAATACAAAAAAGCCTTACCAAGGTATCAATAGTCTAAATATTTAGCTATAGTACTAGACCCAATTAGAAATCATTCAGTAAATCGACTTACTAACTCTTTGGACTTAAACTATAGATTAGATGTTATACGAGTAGATTACAGTGATAAAAATGGTAAGTTTTGACATAACTACGCGAGTATATCCATTGACATAGCTCTAGATGCAGTCAGAAATGGTCTTCAGGATGACGATCAGCTTGCGTATCTAACTGAGGTGCCGATCGAGGAAATCATGCTAGCAGTACGATTGTCCCTGACATCTACGGTTTTCAAGTTTCGAGGTAACGTATACTAACAAACTGAAGAGTTTCCCATGAGATCACCAATATCTCCTTCAAAAAGTAAGTCCTACTCTAAAGACATACTTCTGATATGTAGATGACACATTTACACAGTACTCAAATTGGAACACATCAACAGTTTCTTGGCAGCCATATAAATTCAGTAGTGAATGCAATCCAATTTACCTCCAACTTACTTCAAAAGTGATACAGGTGAGCTAGTATTACTGGATTGCAAGATTCAATGAACACAAGATGGAAGTCTAGATACTAGTGTCTATAGGAAATCTTCCCATTCGAATCGTCACTTAGACTTCAAATCCTCCCACACCATTTCAGTAAAAGTAAATTTCGTGAAATGCCTAAGCGATAGGGCGGAAAAGCTTAGTAGTAGACCAAAAAATCTACGACAAGAAATTGGACACATCAAGAATACCTTGAGTCTCAATAATAACTCACCCTAATTTATAAATAAATTCATAAGAAGTAGATAGAAAAGTACCAGTGGTAGTAGTAGTGTGAGTAGTAGTACTAGTAGTACTAGTAGTAGTAGTAGTAGTAGTAGTAGTAGTAGTAGTAGTAGTACTAGTAGTAGTACTAGTAGTAGTACTAGTAGTAGTAGTAGTAGTAGTAGTAGTAGTAGTAGTAGTAGTAGTAGTAGTAGTAGTAGTAGTAGTAGTAGTAGTAGTAGTAGCCACACAGGTGTTATCAATAATAATTCTACTACTAATAGTAATGATGGTGGTAATAATGGTGACAGGGTTGAGCGAGAATTCAAAGCCTCTGCTGTGATGCCGTAAAAGGAAGACACCTCGGGAGCATTACGAAGAATTCTCAATAAGGCTGGGATTAAAGTGTCATTTAAACCAACAAACTCGCTTAGAAAATAGTTTTGTAGGTTAAAACATCCTCTTGATGCAATTAAGCAAAATAATCTAGTTTACCAAATCCCTTGCAGTGATTATGAGGTCCAATACAAAGGTCAACGTAGTCGACCAGGGTCAGTTAGAATAACACAGTACAAAGATAAACCTTTATATCTCATATATATTTGTTGACACTGTAAATGCAACTTATGTTATATCGGGTTATATCAAATGGTCGCTACAAGAATATAAAAAGTGGACACACCGGGGTTATTAAAAGTACCAACTGGAGCTATACAAACATATTTAATCTCTACTTTCAATACTATGATTACTCCTAATGTATTTAATTGATATATCTCAGTGTAAGTAACTAGAAAGAAAGGAAGACAATTTGATGTTAATTGTCATACATGAGCTGGGATCGTTTCAACGCATATACACGATTGATTCATGCCTAAAGGGGAGGGATAGTGTGTTATATATGACGAATGGGACTATAAACTTGTAAATTAGAGCATATATGTATATATATATATATATATATATATATATATTGCTAGTACAATCGATTAATGAAGCCTGCTTACACATGTACGTGCGCACACGCATGCACGCATAAATAAATATATTTGACAGCACTTATACACTAAATATATCATTTCAAAAATGAGAAAATCAATAAAATAGTATGATCAATACTTTATAAGATGCTTATACACACACACAGATGCAAAATCTATTTTATATTAATAAGAGAATTACATATTTTACTAAAGTGAATTCAATTTAATCGTTTTCAAAAATAATGATAAAGATTATGATCAATTGATGAATTTATTTACAGACAAAAAATGACGCTGACAAATATGTCTAACAACTGGAACAAGTAGTATTTCCTGTTTGTATGTATCTCGAAAACGTATAATCGAAAACTGAACATTGAATGATCACTGATGGTAGTATATTCATTCTGTTTACCAATCATTAAACAATGAATATGTGTAAACATACAACTGCCTACATTATATTTCTTCATGTTGATACCCTGGAAGAAAAATAGTTTGTTTTAAGCGATGACTTAGAAATGAAGTTAAGAGTTGGTTAGTTCCAGGGGTGGTAGCCGAAAAGCTGTTGGTTCAAATCTTCCCACGCCTATCTCAGATGGGCAATTGTTATTGTTATCATTATTATTATTATTACTTGTCCTTTGGGTTCCTAATGGAACATAGGGCTTCAGTTCACCATTCTCATTGATCATTTCACTGAGTGCCTATCGACTCATGATTGGTTGTCTTCCTGTGTTGTCCACTCCTCACAGTTCGGCATTCATGTCACCCCACCCATTAGAATGTTGATGTCACCATCACCATCACCATCGCCATCGCCATCGCCATCGCCATCGCCATCGCCATCATCAACTGGTGTGTTGTCTTGTCGAGTATTGATTGCAGTTGTCTGTAGAATTCCTTCTTCTTCTTCTTCTTCTTCTTCTTCTTCTTCTTCTTCTTCTTCTTCTTCTTCTTCTTCTTCTCCTCCTCCTCTTCATCTGCGTTTGCATTATTTGTAGGTGTGTAGTGGAGTGTGGTATGGCATGGTATTGTATGATTGTGACTTTCCTCATTCCCCTTCACTTGAATCCATCTTGCTGTCATGATTGTTATCCTGGAGGAGGAGATTGGTTCCGACTGCATGACAGCGAGGCTTTGATGCTGTTCAAGGGGACATGATGATAGGCAGTGGAGGAGTCAGTGTGGTGTGCTGGTTGTTGTCGTGTGGGTGACGATATCGGAGTAGATTATTGACTGTGGTCTCCAGTTGACAGATGGTAGAGTCCACTTCGATTGTATCTGCTTTCACAGATTGTTCGTAGATTCGTAGGACATGTAGGCCATACTTTGTCATCTGTTTTGCAATCTTGGCAGTCTTGTCAGTCGGTCAGTCAGTCATTCAATCAATCAGTTAGTCAGCCAGCCAGCCAGCTTCAAACATTGTTTTGACATTCCATTCCCCTATGTTTACTTTTGCTTTCATCGAGAGAGGAGAAGATACATCGGCCGACTGGTTTCACGAAGGCTTT